GCCTGCAGGGACAAACAACTGCAGAGTAGGCACCTGAAGGGCAATTGCACTAGTTCCTCATGCATTTTGGTTTGGCAGGATCGAAGCGTTTCGGTTTCGTGAAGCATTCGCATCCTTCAGGCGATGCAAGGGAGGTTGGCAGAGAAGGCGCGTCCAGCTTAAGCTGTGTCACTGGATTTAGATCACATCAAACAGACCTTCACCCCGACGAAGCAAAAGATCCCAACCAAAGTAGCATTTCAGAGTTGGCTTCTGTGAAAGCTTTGTGAAAGCTTGCCCTGCTGCGTTCTGCATTGCTCAGCCGCAGCGGCCGCAGCAGCAGCAGCTGCTGCAGTTCATCCCTCAGAAGTTTTTCCTGAGCTTGGCACTGCTTCTGTCCAAGGCAGTGTCTGCCAGGGCATCTGGAACGACCGACCCTGGTGCGCTTTGTTCTCAGTTGCATGCGCAGGTGGCTGTTGCGACTGACCAGAATTTCTAGGCAGTGATTTCGGCTTCTGGAATCATGTAATGAAACATTTTGCTGCTTGTTTTGCTGCCTGGGTTCTTGTAACCATCAACAATGTGACACGGCAGCTATGTTGGTTGGGCAGATAGCCATGATACCAGAGAGAGCGCTAAGATGATTATGGCAGGCCAAAGGCAATCGTAGGCGCAGTTCGTGCATGGGAGCAACACAGTGGCCTTAAACATGAGCGAATGCTCCTGATGTAAGAGCAGGGTTTCCGTAGAAGAGTTGAAACATCGGCCTTACGGGCAGGCATAGTCAAGCTCCAAAATTATTTGGAAGAGGGTCAGCACCTTCGCAAGCCTGTTGAACATATACTGCCTCAGTGAATATCAAAGTGCACAAACTGATTAGTGACATGTGACACTCTCGACACAATGCGACCATATTCTACTTAAGCATGAACCATTGTGCACATCCAAAACACAGATACAGTGTGTCCAAAACGAGGATATTGCCTGACAGCCTGAGCTTGTTGTGAAACAGGCTGTACCCCTGCTTTGGTATTGCAGGTTGGTGGACAGGTGCTTGTTTCACAGTATGTTGTGATGATTGCCAAGGCCGTCTGTGGAGGAGCACATTGAACTTCCAAGACATGCAACTGGAAAGGCGCACTAATGTGCATTTTAGCACAAGCAATGCATCTTGCCGTGGTAGGTTATAGGAACCAAAGGGCAGCAAATTGCGGAGATCCGACAAAAAAGTGGCGCTCAGGCAAGGATTGCCATACAAAGCCATTGATCGTTGATTATATTCACACCAACCATGATGAAGTTTGCACCGCCACCAGGTGGATGTGGACAAATCTCCAACCGGCTGTCGTGTACGCTTTGTTGGCAACCAAACTCAGGCTTGAATCAGTTCATTCTTGACATGCAAATGTGCAGCGTTTGGTTGTCAGGTTGACATGGCCAAAGCAATGATCAACGCCATCATGTCACCTCCGCAAGAGACAGGCCCTTCTGACAGCTTTTTGCACTTGATCGACCTTGCCAGAGGTGGCGGTGAATACTTGGAGATTCCTCGGAGCGCTGTCGGCCGAATCATTGGTGCTGGTGGAGCTCGCATCCAGGTGCATGTCGCATGTACTCCCACGCACAACGCTCTGTTGCAACGCATTGCAATGCAGGAGCTGCAGGAACGTAGTGGAGCTAAGATTGACATTGATCGCCAGCCGGATCGGTGTTTGGTGCGCCTTGAGTGTTGGGTAGCTTAGGCGGGAGATTCTCATCAAGCTGACAGGTACGCTTTGGTGGATTTCCCGAAAATGTCCAGCTTGCCAAGAACCTTGTGACGGAAGTCTTGGAAGGCCTGTTGAAGTCACTGATTGGGGGATGGCGCAACTTTCAGGCAGGGACCGTACACAGCTAGCAGAAGCTGCAGCTACCATGGAGGCCATCTTTTGCTGATGTGAACCGTTGCTTATTTCCTGAGCCTGCAGATACCTCCTAGCACTACTGGCCGCTTGATTGGGCCTGGTGGGCGCCAAATCAATGAGATTCAGGACCTGAAAATGCTTCGGCGGCCGATGCGTACATTGGTAATTGCTTGTTTGGCAAGAGAGAAGCATCAACTGGTTTGTAAAGGCAGAAAGCCCTCCAAAAAAGTGGCAGAAAAGTGGGGTTTCTGTCCTTTGCCTTTGAAGCCTTCCAGCAGGTGCAACCCAACTCTGTTGAACAGAGCTGAGTTTGAGGAGAAAAGCGGCGCGAAGATAGACTTGGACAAGGCGAGATCAATGGGAGTGCAAGGGAGCACAAATACGAGATGCATGCGTTTTACGCTCCTGGCTCAGGGCCGCGATCCCTGCGTTGTCCGGATGACAGGATCCGCCGATGTTCGGTCCTCATTGGCACTGAAATCAAAGCTGGACAAATTTGGGCATTTGCCGGACCTAGGCTGTCGCGATGGCACAGGTCATGATCCGCGAGGCTGATCATTCGGCAATGGCATTGGCATGCGTTTGAGATTTGTACTGTCAATGTGTGCTTGATTATG